CCTACTGAGATTGCTGAAAACAGCAAAGAAGGTTATTAAAGAAAGAACACTGCTGTGGAATTAAAGGGAATGCCCTTGTATGGATAGTGACTGTCTGAAAGATAGGAAACAGATGGTAGAAATAAGCTGGCAGGTTTTAAATTTAAAGGAAATCACACGTAATTCTTTGTGATGAGGCTTTAGCTGTTTCTGCTGAAGTGATTGGAAAAGGGATATGGGTGTGAGGTAGCAAAGTTTGCTGCCAACACTGTTATTTGGAGTAGTAAAGGTGAGAGGTTGAGAGCAAGGAGTTGCAGGACTTCAGGTTGCTGTAAACAACTAGGCAGTAAATAACAGGTGAAATTCCATGTGGACAAGTATGAAATGATATTGTGTATGTGTGTTTGGAATAATCTGGATTTTTCCTGTACAACTATGGGCTTCAAGTTAGCTTTCTACACTCAAGCACCAGAGGAAGATACCAGCTCAGTGACAGTCAAGAAAGAAAAAGAAAAAAAAATAAATCAAAAGCTAGGAATTACTGGGAGAGGAAAGAACAAAATATCATTGTGCAGCTGTGTGAGTTATGTTCTCCCAGCATCTTACATGCTGGATATGGCTTGGGCTCCATTTCAAAAACAGAAAAATAGAGGGAAGGATGCTTAGGAAGGCTGAGCAAAGGTGGTGAAACCGATATGAGGAATGGTGGAATAGACAAAAAATTTCTAGTCTCTGAAAGTGAAGGAAGGATGAAGGGACTGAAGGAAGTGAATAGGAAGCGATTGTTCATAGTCTCTTTCAGTGAGGTAACTGAATAGCTTTGAATAAGGTGTCAGGTTTAAAACAGACGTGCTATGTAGCACACACTTGCATTTTGGAATTCTTTTGCCACAGGACTTTGTGATTACCAAAAAAACTTACAGTTGCAAAAGTGAAGACAAATGCATTAATAGCTATTAAATGGGCATATTCTACAGCTTGTGTAAGGACATCTCTGAGCACAAAAATCACTGGAAGATGGAAGAGTATTCTGGGCAAGTACTCGTATATGCTTGCACTCGTAGTCATCTGCTGTTGGTCATTTCTGGTGGCAGGATAGTTACCCTGATGGACTTCTCCGTGGTTTGCTCATGCTGTGTTACTTCTCAGACTGGAACTCAGAGTCTCAGTTTTGACAGTGGATTGAGTCTGTGCCTAGGAAGTCCAAGCTCCTGGCCAATGGAAGAGACAAATCTCGGAGGAGCAGCCAACATATTCTACTTTCCATGACGATCCTGCCCTGGCTTCTTTCTCTTTTTCTGCCATAAATTGCTTGGATATTGTTGCAAAAGTTACTTAAACCTCTTTACAACTAAACTGGCTGCTCTTTATATTATAGTAAAAACTGAGTTGCTTGAAGTTGCTTTATTCATCTGTAATCATAAAATGTTTAAGTCCTTGCATCTGAGCCATTATTTGCCTGTGAAATGTGGTAGTTTGATACCTAACCGTGGCACAGTTTCGTAGCTCTAATCATTCTGAGTACTTCAAAAATAACCACGTATTGTATTTACTCTATCAACAAATATAATACCACGAGATATTACCCTCCCTAAATGCTGAAGTATCCAGGGTATGGGAGGCAGGTTAGACAATAATCAGCCTAGTCATACAATAAAATTTGCATTCTTGCAGTGATTTGTGTAATTCAAGAAGTTTGGGGAGTGCAGCATAAAGAATGCCTCTCATTTCAGCTGCAGAGGAGATCCAGCATTTGCAGAGCAAATGAGATATTTGTGATGTTAACAGTCTAAATGATTTTTATTGATAATGACAGATGGTTCTTAGATAATGTGCTCCAAGTCATCTGTAATATGTTCAGAATAAGTCTTCTGGAAGGTTGTACATCTGTCTTGAGATCTTTTACTAAAATATTTAAATCAAGGTCATTGTTTATATTTGATTTTAAATAGCTTTTAGCTGGTAGTCTGCATTTCTGTACATTTAGAGATCAAACTGTTTGTAACTTCAAAGCTACAAATGGAAAAGTATAATAGGTAGCAGGTGTTAGAAAAGGCAATTATGCATTAGCTGTTTTACTCAATTTCCAAAACTGTCTAAAACTATCCATTGGAAATACTTTGTAGCCTAGACTTATCTCTGAAGCATGATGAATTTTTAAATCTATAGGGGGATATGCATTTTTTCTCTAATGAATTGCATATTTAAGTCTATTTGGTTTCATTTAAAAGAGCTGAAGAAAGTTGTATTGGGGGGAAGAAAAAAGGTTGAACAGAAAAATCTCAAGAAAAAGTACAAGTTCTTATACATTTCCGGAAATTTTTTCTGCAATTCCTCAGAAACATTTTCAATTTCCAATATTACAGTTCTGGCAGGTTTTGCTTTTAATTTTTTTTTTTTTTTTTTAGCCGCTTATCTTGACTTTCTGGCTATGGAAGAATTTTCTTTATTATGTGATAATAGACTGAATCTTGGCCTTAAAATCAGAATCTGAGTTTATTGTCAGAAAAAAGAATATTCTGATGGTCTAATTTGACTACCTATGTAAATTTGTTCGTGAGGCAATGTAAGAGAGAGCAAAATAAACAATTTTGCCAACAGCTACTGCAAATTTACTTTGAAAGTTAAAACGCTGCTTTCAGACAGATTTCTTTAATCCTTCCCTCTTCTCCCCTTTGCTTTTTCAAGAACTTACATAATGTTGGAGTGAGGAGAAGAAAGGAGGATTAGTATATAGTAACACCAAACCAAATTCCTTTCAGTTCCCTTTCTTGCTCATGTCATGTAATTAAAGAAATGTAAACCTTTATTATATTCAGGTGAGATAACAAATAATCCAATACCAAAAGTATCCTCATTAATAGTTATTATTTTAGAAGAAATTTTCCTGCCTACAGAGTACTCAGTCTTCCTTCTTCTTCATCTGCAAAAATAGTCTTCCTTCTGTCTTAATCTACCCTCAGCAGTATTTCTGTACTTGCTCAGCAATTTCCATCCAGCCTTATTTGCCTCCATCCCGTAACCATTCTTCTTCCCTGCTTTCCTATTTGATTGCCAGTGCTCAGGCTGGTGCCATGCTCTTCAGTTACCCGTTCTCTGAGGTAGAGCTAAACACAAGTCATAGTTCACCAGGTAAAGGCGAACTGAGCTGGTTCTTACTATGCCAGAAAGTCTTTACCAGTGACAGCACATGTCAGAGTGGGATTTTGGAAAATGTATTAGTGGTTTCTTGTACAGACTGTTGACTTAGCCTTAAACACAGTCCATTTTCATTAGACATTACTACCCTGTTTGCCTTCCAGGTCTGAAGAAAGGTTGTCACTTCCTTGAGATTCTGTTGTGTATTCCAAAATAATAGAAACTTTTTGTGTATGGTTAAAGGGTACTACTTGAAAGGATGTTTTCAATATTCATGTTAAAAGTGAGAAGTTGACTGCAGTTCAGTGCTGAGAAAAAAACTCTAATATTGTAAACTGGACTTTACTTTGATTTTTCTGATTAAGACAAACTCTAGAGAGAAGTCTAGTTAAAATTACCATATGCTTTGTCTGTCCTGGGATTTTGCAATGTTATTCAAGTCATGTTATTCAAGAACAGTATTTTCCTAGAGTAGGAAAATTTCACAGGATCTTATAATCAGAATCTTACTTTTCTGGTTCCAAAATTAAGTAATTCCTATTTTCTGTTCCAACTACACTTTTAAACTTAAAACTTCCCTGCAAATAATTGACATTATCTCTTCTCTTGACTCTTACTGATTTGGTGGATGGGATGATCTGTAGTTTCTGTAGCTGCTAGCATGGTATTTGTACCAACCCCTTGTAGTACACTATGGACATCTATCAGTCAAGGGTAGAGGAGAAGGAAAAGTAGGAGAAGGAGAGTATTTTTCCTTCTCCACTTGTGATAGCAGTGAGGTTACTTTATTGCACTGTTACAAATATTATGTGGAATATTTTAAATACTGTGCTCTTCTAGGTTAAATAGCAATAAAATAGATATTTTGTCATGTTATGTTTTACATAAGAAGTTGTTTCAGTTCACTTTACTGTATTTTTCTAAAGGACAAACAGCAGTTTTGAGATGACCAGTAGAAAATGTGGAAAAAAAAATTGGTATACTTTTAAAGTGCTCCTATTAGATCTAACAAATTATTTAGATATCGGCATTTAAGTATTCCTACATTTATCAGATTATGTAGCTTAATTTTATAATTATTATTTTTAAATGTTCTTTTAATGAGATTTTATGTGGCATTAGTTCACAGTCATCACATTGATAATTAAATATCATGATTATTTTTTTTCAGTTCTCAGTGGTATAGAAAGTAAAATCTAAGATTAATTTGGTAATACAAGAAAACTTAGTGAAGTCTTTTAAAAGTAGGATCACAGATTTTTCTAAACTCTTAGGTATACTGATAAAATCTTAATTTCTAGGGGGTGTATTATAAAGTGACTGAATCTGCTGACTTGAACAGAAAGGTGCAGATATGAATATGAATCTGAACTATAAATGTTTTGTGTTACAAGGAGCAGAATTTTTTTTCTTTTAATAGCAACCTCTAATTCAGTCAAATATAGACCAAGTTGTATATTTTTTAAAAATGCTTAATCATTTCCTGTAGCAGAATTTATAATAAAAAAGCTACTAGTATCAAATGAAACTACATATGCTTCATCTCCATTAAGAGCAAGCATTCATGCCACAATATTGAGCTAGACAGCACAGTATTTCATGCCAGGTATAAGCTAATGGATCGCATCAGAAATGGAAGAAACACATCTGCAAACAATGATTTTAAGTATGAGAAATGCATACCTCACCTTAATTCCTGTTACAGATAATGGCTGTGAATAGGTTTGGCATAGATGAAATGCATATGTGTTTGTGATATGGAAGAGAGAGATATTTAGCTGACATTTGTAGTTAGGAGTTAATGCCATAAAAATACACTTGGGGTATATGGTGATCAAAAGTGTTTGTGTATTGAAATGATGGTTTATTTTTATTTTTTCTAGTCTGAACCAGAGGGTTTTTCTCACTTCCACTTGTACGTCTGTGCTGCCTTCCTTGTCAGGTGGAGGAAAGAGATCCTGGAAGAGAAAGATTTTCAAGTAAGCGAAGGGGATGCTTTTCAAGTGTGGGGTGGTATTTATTAAATTTAGCTTCCTAGAGTTACTTGGGGGTGAATTTATGCCAAAATAGTAGCAGTTGCAGCACGAACAAGTGTCTGACTGACTTTTAGAGTTGCTCCAAACCTGTTAGACCTGAAGTGATGGACTGTGAGCAGTAGGAGATGTATTTTCTTTGTCCACTCTGAGAAAAAAATGCTGTTTTAACTAAGACAGACTTTGAGATGATGATTTCCAGAGGTGCTGTTACAAATAAAGCCTTGGTATTTCACAAAGAGATTTTCTGAAAAGGTAGCTGGATATATATATATTTTTTTTAATCTTAAAAGCATCGCTGGAGTTATTTATTTATAATTTTTCATCTGTATAATATAACAGCACACTCTAACAAGGTGAGGTTCATTCTTGCAAAAAAGCTAGGCAAACAGTCTTTTAAAATAAGGAGCCTGTTTTTCAGTGGGAAATAAAAGGACTGTAAGAGTATTTACTTCAGGTCCCTACATTTCAAAACCTTATGTTTTTCCAGCAAAGAGCACATCGGGGAGTTGTTTGGATGGGATTTGAATATGGTAAATAGGAGAATCGTTTGCATACCCCTGTAGAAGTTCAGTTATGTTTGTGAACTGGTGACAGTTCACTTTCATAGAAATACTTTATATTGAATTTCACCCTGTGATACACATGCAATGCCTGAAAGGCATTAAAGTCCTGTTTACAGGCTGACTGTAAACAAACCATGCTACAAAGCCCACACCATTGCCTGCCCCGGGGAAATGGCCCGTTACCAGCTTATTTTCTCTGCAGCTGACTGAACTCTCTTGCCCTGTACAAATGAACCATTGTGTAAGTTTGTGTATCACTTCAATCTATTTTATCTTTCTTCATAAAACCATTTATTCAGAACACTTTAACTGTCGTTGCCTATCTTTGCAATAAATAAATGCCTAAGGGCACAACATAACAACTTTAATTTATACTACCTGCTAACACTGTCAGATTTTCTCAGTTTATGGTATTTTGTCAAAAACAACTTTAATGTTGGCAGCCATGCCTCTCAACTACAATAGTTTGCTGTTAATCCTTCCTATTAAATTTTTCCTGTTGATTTCCTGCAGCAAAGTTCATAATTTTCCCCTTTCTACTGAATCTATTACGACTCTGTTTAAAGTAAATAATAATCCCAAGGTATAGTACTATGAAGACTTGTTTTGTTCTCCTTACATATGTTCATATTTGTTTACTTATTTAATAATTAAGGCATTTCTTTATGGTTTAATTTCTTTATAGGCTATGTAAACTAAATGATAAAGCACATGTATCAGGAATACATTGAAACATTTATCAGGCTGCTTTAGCTTGGTTACAACATAGAAATGCAATTAGTATGAAATTCTGTAGACTAGTGCTAGTTTTATCGTTATCATGTTATCACTAAAAGGCTTGGCCTTCTTTATTGTGTAACGTGACCTTTTAAAATTACTAAACTAAAGTGTTATCAATTCTCCAAACGATACTTCTCTCCCACAGGCAAGAATAAAACCCAGTATTCTTCCGCTTTGTTAGTAATAGCTGTAGACCATTCCCTTCAAAGAATAGGCCTTCAAGTAATAGGCATTGAAACTACATGGGAAAATTCGGAAGTTCAGTATGTGCTGTTGGAATACTCTGCATTGAATTCACATTATTGAGAAGTCACAGTTTAGTACATTTTGAACTGAAATTTTGTGTTCTGATGTAGGCTACATCAAGAATAATCAAAACAGCATCCAGTCATTTCTTTTGCACGTAGTGTGCATTGTATTTATTTTTCTGCATGTGACATAGATAAGACAAGTCTCTCCTAACTGTCAGTTGGAGGGTCTGGTTCTTTAGTACTAGCTGTGAAAACTCATGCTTTTCTTTTATGTGTCTGTTTGATCTCTTTCAGTAGAATTAAAAACCTCACAGGAATTTTAAGGTAGAATAATTTCTCTAGAATATCAGATGTGGTGAGATGCCAGATGAGACACTGACCAGGTTTTGAAAGGCCAATTTTAAAACATTACAGGCTGGGTGATGATAGGAAATAATCTTTGGTCTTAAGATACTTATTTCCATTCTCTTACGTATGTCTTGTTGCATCCTAAGCAATGAGTAAAAGTATGTGGTGTTTACTCTTCCTCATATGAACAGATTAATTAATAGACTTACACACCAAATCATAGAATCATAGAATGTGTCAGGTTGGAAGGGATCTTTAGAGGTCATCTAGTCCAACCCCCAATCCCCCTGCAGTGAGCAGGGGCACATTTAACTGTATCAGGTTGCTCAGAATCCCATCCAACCTGGTCTTGAATGTTTCCAGGGATGGAAATGTTCCACTGTGCATGATAATATGCCTTATTCCTTATTACAGACAGCATGTGTGTGTGGTTTTGTTTGGGGTTTTTTCTGTATTGTTTTGTAGCAGGGAAAGAAATTTTGCAATGAAAGGAGTTAGGCTGGCTGGACTAATACTAATAAATGGCTTACATTTGTAGAATTAATGGTTATTATATCAAAGGAAATAAATTTTGATGAGGGAAATCAAGGAAGAGAACCAGTTCAGGCCTCCAGGTGTTGAAATAATAATGTATATATCATATATGTATATAAATAATCATGTATATGTAAACTTGTAACAGAAGTGTATAAAACTGTGTTCATGCTAGTCCCATATTTTTCATGTTTGAAAGAACTTAACAGAATAATTTTGTCACTGTAAGATGATAATCAAGTCATGATAGAAGTTGTGTTCATTTTAATCTGTTTGAACAAGTTATTGTTCTTACTGCCATCTATTTGATATCAATGTAGACGCCTCTGAAACATGAGATATGCAGGTTAGCGTAAGTTTTAGCAATAGATAAGTGAGGAGAAAGGTGATGCTTTATATGTAAATCTAGAGCAATTTCCAACATTCTTTGTAGAATTTGTCCTGTATCTCTGCTTTATGAAAACTGGCACCTCTTGACTTTCCACAGATTATTCCATGCCGCTTATCCATGTCCTTATAACCGTTCCTGTCTGACTACTGTAAAGTAGAGTGAACGAAGGGCAGCTGTTTCAAACTGCAGTGCCCCAAGAGAAAACACTTGATTTTTAGGAAGCTGGGGAGGGGGAAAGTGTCAACCTTTTATGTTTTGCTAGGAGTTTATAGTTGCTAACAGTTTGTCCTGCTCAGTAAAAGTATCGGTAATCTTTCTCGTAAGCTTTGATCCCATTTTGAAATTTGCTATGTAATGCAGTGAGCTATGTGATGCAATGCCATGTAATGGCAAAAATTGTTACATGCAATTTTGAAATTTCCCAGGGTCACTTTTTGATAGCAGTGAAATATTGTGATATGTTTTTGGATAGACACTTTAATTATTCCATGCCCATGTGTAATACAAATAACAGTGCTGAAAAGAATGATTTAGTGCTTTAGTTAGAGCTTGTTATTCTCTTATGGTACTCACTTCTAGAGAGAGTGAATCCACTTTACCTACATATGAAGCTCCACAAACCCAGGTACAGAAACCTAGTTTGGGTAGCTCTGTAGTTCTATTCATATTTCAGATTGGCAGTTTTTACTTCACGTGTAGGAGAACAGAGAACGCAGTGGGCAGACAGTAAATGGAAGACCTTTTAATCCTGGCTTAGATTTTCCTTTGTAACCGATGTGATGTTTTATGGGATCGATCATATATATTTATGGGTCATTCTTGGCTTATGATATTTCTATTGATGGTATAAATATTCTGTGTTAATGCACTGGTTGCTTACTAGTGTCAGATTAAAAAAAGTAGTAGTAAGTTTCATAGAATCATAGAATGTTTTGGGATGGAAGGGACCCCTAGAGGTCATCTAGTCCAACCCCCCCGCAGGAGCAGGGACACCGCTAACTAGATCAGGCTGCTTATCATATGGATAAAAACACAATTTTTTTAATGTGATAAAGTATGACTTGTGATGTGAATGCAAAATGTGAAATTAATTTAATTTCTACTGTCTAAGCTTAAGTAATTAAGGATACAAATAATGAAGACCTTTCAATTCATCTGCATGTCTTAGACTTTGACTTACTGTTATTCGTTTTCCAAACTACAACTAAAATTCCAAAATTCTCCTGAGTTCTTGAGATACGTGAATGGTTGATGCTGTTAAGTGATAAAATATTCAAGCATGATTTTGAGCATATTTAGAATTAAAATATTAATAGAAAATATGGCTGTTCAGTTTAATGGTGTCATGTACATGATACCTGAAGGATTTGTAAGGAAACAGGACCTCAGGGACTAGATGCAGCTGTCAAACTGAATATAAGCTAATAGTAATGTTGGACTGATACTGGTGTAACTGTTAGATATTAGAGATTTAGTCCAAGTTTTCAGTTTTAGTAACTTATCATTTTGTTAACATAGCTGAGCTATAAAAATATATTCAATATGTTGTGGTAAGGAATCTGTCTTGCAGATTTTTCCTTCTTCATGACTCTAAGATACAGGCTTTTCTGTCTGTCTGACAGACATTTTCACCCATGCTGTCATCAGCCCACATCTTTATTACTGCAATGTCCTTTTCTTTGGCTTTGACAAATGCATTTTTGCTTCATTTATATTCACCCAGACTGCAAAGAAGCTGCAAAGATCATTTTTCAGTCCATCATTTTTTCTTGCTTTGCATCTCCTTTAGTTCTCTTTCCTTTATAGCACCAAGGAAAACTTAGACACTTTCTCTTTCAAGGCCTTTAATGGACTAATACCGACACCTTACATGTCATCTCATATTCAGTGTTGAGATGCTGACTGCCAGTGTATCAGCCAGTGATGACAGCCTCATCACGCACTTGAGCTTGCAAGAAAGTATCTATGCTATCTCCCAGGTTGACCGTCTTACTTAAATGGAGCACCTAATGCAGATACTCATCTAAATCCTTATGTAAGTTCTGTTTTTCTGCAGTACCCAGAATAGATTTGACAGGTAGGCTTGAGTCTGTTAATAGCACTTACAGTCACATTGACGAGTTTTGTGTTGCTTCTTTTTAATTTTCTGTGAATTTGTTGTCTCCTGTTTTATACTTGAGCCATCAAATGTTCGGGGTAGTGACTTTCCGTTATTCTGATTTATATAATCTTTAAAATAAAGATTCCTTAATCATTATGTTATATAAACAGTAGGGATTAAGCCTTATTGACCTCGTGACCAAAATGACTGTGTGCACAATTGTCTGTCCTATTAAAAATTAGATAAAAGCTGTTGATTTTTTTCAGATGTTTTAATTATGGTGAAGTATAACAAGCTAATGTTAGTTCAAATGTTAATGTGAACCACCTCTTCCTACATCATACAATCAATAAAATTTTAAGGAAATTAAGTTTCTTGTTATTACTCCTGTAAATGTTTATGTTTTATGAAATTGTTGTTAGGTTTATTCTTAGATTAAATCTTAGGTTTTGTATGTTAATTTTAAGATGGATGCCTGTTTCAGAGTACAGTGAAACATTTCACAGTGCCTGCATTTGAATGAAAGTCAGATACAGGGTGACTTTGAAGTGCACCTTTAGCTTAGTGATGGAGTGAGCACTTGGTTTGTTTTGCCTTCCCTCCCCTCTTTAATCGCTTCGTTAGAATTGGTGGAGGGTTAGAAGGTTCACTACTACCTACCACTCTTCCTAAATCTCAGCTCACTTGAATATTTTGCCCCCTTATTTCACATAAGTGTAGAGAAGGCCTAGGTTAATATCTTCTGATTTATGGTAAGAACACACTACTAATACTTCAAGTCTCATTTAGCACATGAGCTTGCTCTCTTAGTCTTTTTCCTCACAGTTGTCAGCATTTTTGGGGTGTGAAGGCAATTGTTTGTACCTGTGATCTGTTTTCTGCCTATCAGATTCCAAAGTTCCCGAAGCTTTATATTATTCCCTGAAATAGAGGAAGAATGCTCTATTTGTGTGAGTGAACCCATGGCATCTAAAGGTTACGGGCTTGTGTCACTTCAGGCCTAATATCAAATTAAAAAAAACCCCAACACTCAAAACATTGTCTTTCTTGCAGAGGATTTCACACCCATATTAAATGATATTAATATTCAACATGAAAATCTGAAATAAGCGGAACAGTTTAAAACCAGAGCTATTGAAAATGCTTGTTTTTCTTCCCTAGAAATGTTTTATAGGATCATATAAGTGATGAGCATATTGTCTCCTTACTTCATTCCTGGACTTGTCTGCCAGTTTTCTTCCTTACAGTAATACAGACTTTGTATACAATCACAATGGGGTTGCATTTATAAGCATTTGGACAGTTACATTTATTACAGGTTTATTTTTTATTTCATTTTTCACATGAACTAACATTTCTATTAAAGTAGATTCTTGTACATGAGCTAAAATTACTTGAAAGAGAGGTTTTAAAGACAGACAGACCAATCTGATTTTATACACCTGTTGGAGTGTGTATTTGTTACAGCTACACAAGATGTAACTTTGCACCCTAAAACTGGGATTAGTAGATGGTTACAGAAGCGACTGAATAATAAGATACTTGGAAGACAAATTCAGTTCATACTGCTGTCTGCATGAGTAGCAGGCTCTAGTTTAAAAAGTTTAATAAGAATATTCTTCCTAGTGATTATGTACTATAGAAACATATCACATATCAGAACCATGATTTTATACCATCTCTTTATGCTAAACTACAGTAATATGGCTTTCCTTAATCTTTTGTGGTCTTGTTCCTAGTTTATGATGTCAGTTTTTAAATAGCTACTTTCTGCATTAAAGTACAGGACTTCTCACTTGATATGATATGAGGCATAACTAATAAATATGTTTTTAATTTAGCTTCTTGGTGTGTAGTGTGCTAGAAATTTAGTTCCCATTCCTACTGCAGTAAAAATAATGTTTCTCAATTAAAAAAAAAAAAAGTAATGTTTCTGAACAGATTAGTTTTCTGAGCAGAGCAGTGTTTACCCCTCTTCTCTGTAAGCTTTGTGATTAAATGGTTTTGTGGTTCTGGATTCTGCACCCTCACTCTTCCATGGATGGGGGAACTAACAGGGTTTTTTCTGTGAATGTAGCAAAACCTGTAAAGAGTTAAGGACTGTAAACATGGAAACCTTTCTAACTTGAAAGAGCCTGACTACTAACATTGCTGTCATTTTATTCCCTGCTGTGAGCACTTTTGGAAGACATTCAATATATTGTCATGTGTTGCAAGAGACTGGAAGCTCTGCTGTTTTAGACTTTGAACTCACAATCTAACAAGGAGCTCACAATCTAAAGATGTTGCTCCTTAATCTCCGAGTACTGGTAGTAGACAACTGGGAGTTAGCGCTGTTAAATCATTTATATTCAGAAGAGCCAACTTATAATAATAAAATTAGTGACATTATTTTTGCATGCAAAGAGCTTAACAAAGAATGAGGTGACTGGTAGAAGTTGTATCTAAATACAGTTTTATAGGGGGAAAACCACCAGGTGTCCATTGGTCCCAACTGCAGCTATTACTGTCTCAATGTAACTGCTCTGTTAATAAACCTACTCAACGTAGTCAAAAACTTCTGCATCTTTTGATTATCATCAGTATCTTGACTTGATCTCCACATGTGAGTATATTGTAAATTAAACACAGAGACATTTTATCATACAGTCTTAGAAATACAAGTTTTGTCCCACGGAAATTATTATTGCAAAATTTTAATATCAAACTAAAATATAACAGATATAATGTACATCATCCTCCTTTTAACTTTGAGAAACTAGTGGTGCTTGCCTTGTACCAGGTGAGGAGTTGCCCTCTGTCTGGAAGATTCTGACCAGTTTATAGCGTACACTAAAAATGGTTTAAGAAGCATGAAAAAGGAAATAAAACTCCTAACACTACCCTTCCTTATCTCTGAAATTTCAGTGTGATACTTTTTCTTCTGATGAGACTGTAGGCCTGTTTTTTTCTCAGAAGCTTGGCTTTAAACATGCAAAGCTGAGAATAGAAATCATAAAACCAAAACAAAACCACTTTTGAATTATATTTTATTCAGCAAGCTATGTGCATATTTTTATACATAAATTCACTTCTTTTTCTTGAGCTTGAGTTTACAGGCCAAGAGTTCATAGTAATAATACATTACTCATTTCTGACATTTTAAAAATAATATTTAACTTGCATCCAGTAATAGAGATAAGTTTTGGATTCTGTATCTGAATTTGAAATCTGCGCATCTGTTTCTGTTGCCGTCTTTTCATAGAAGTCATCGTTGCTGCTCAAAATATTTGAACCATTGAACACAGTAAAATTGCAAGTTATAGTACAGTCATATTGAATAGCAAGTAGCTTGAATATATATTTTTTTTGCTGAAACTCAGAAGTTACTCTGAGCTATGAATTAGTCTAATATTATCAGGTAAATCACAGGAGTCAGTGAAAACTAAGCCTTGCTCTCTCCAAAGCAATTTAGGAAAAATAGAAGTCTTTTTAGGTAGAAGGTAGATTTAGCTGCTTATGGAAAGAGGTAAATACCTAATTCCTGCAGCCATGACTTACTCTGAGATATCTGTCTAGTTTTTAACAGACCCATCTTCTGCTCTAGAGAATGTTGTTGTTGTTTTTTTTTTAAAATTAATTTATATTGAAATAGGATTGCCAAAACAGAAAGAAATTTTTAAAATCCCTGCTGAAGGAGCCTAGCTCTATAGAGCCAGCATACTATGTGAGTAGGACTTCTCTTCTTGGGAATGCAGCATGAAAAGTAGAGGGGTGAAACACTGATGATAAGAAACAGGACAAGGGTTTTGAAATTGATAGAAGTAGAATAAATATATTTTCTTAATTATTTTCATCTTTTATAAATATTTGTATCTGTATTCTTTATTACAAGTGTAGAGGTGTAGCTTTTTATTTTTTAGCCTAAGCTGTTTTAAGTGTAGTTTCAAGTCATATGACTTACCAAGTCATTTATTACTCAGCAGTTTGGCAATCAGAAAATCAAGGTGCTGAGACATAATAATAAGTGCCTTCTTCCCCAGCACCTTAGTTGAGAACATCTGAAAGGGAACAAGGTACATCACTGTAAAAGCTGTAGTGGCTGATTCTGGAGGAGATGGGTAAGAGGATCTAGAGGGTTGTTTTCTGGTGATTGCCAGCTATTTTTTCTTGCAAGTAGGTGGGGAGTATGCTCGAAGAGCAAGGGTCTTAAGAAATCTTAGGTCACTCATTAGAGCAATTTAGAGACATATTTTGACTCCACTGTTTTTCTTAATTTGCTTCATTAGACTGCTCCTTTTTTATTACTAGCAGGTAAGTTTAAAACTCCATATAATGTGCTAATGCGTCTCTCAGATGATACAGAAAGAACAATTTTCCCAGGAAGATTAACATCGAATGCAACAATTTGTAAAAATTTCAGCATAACTAATCTGTGAATATACAGAAAAGTGAATAATTTGTACACAAGTTTTAGCGTATAACACTTCTACATTTGTTTACTATTTAAAAAGATCTTAAGAAGGGATATAGTATTTTATAATCCTGAATATTGTTTTTTCCTTCATGTAAATGTTCGTGCCATTTGAAAAATTGCATTTAGACAGTGTTGTTCTTCACTTAGTTCCAAATTCAGTTACTTTTAGAATAGTTTATTTTTGTGATAGGGAATATGTTGCAATTGTAGATGCATCAAATTTAAAAGTTTGAATATGAGCACTGAATGTGCAGTTTCATGCTTGGATTTCATGTGCAATATACAGCAATTCATTAACTTCTGCCCTTTCTTTCATGCAGAACAAAATCTTTGACAACAGATTCAGTGTAAATGACAGCTGAGGTTGTAATATCATATGTTAG